ATAAATTCTCTTGCAGCTAGCTCATGACTATCAAGCCACGTGCGCTCTAAAGGTTCCCGCTGAGTTGATATAAGGAAAACCTTACTATAAAGTTCCTAGAGCATGTTCAAAAGGGCATTTCACATTAGTTACGTAGGCGGGCAGGTGTATCACTGAAATTTCTTTACTGGTGTGCTCTCTTATATTCATTAGAGGCAAAAGTGCGCCAATAGGGAGACGCAGGGGTAGGCCTGACCCCGCCCATGCAAACAGAGGTATTGTGTCTTCAGAACAGTCAGAAAGGTAGAAGCGAATCTGACGAAAAACACTATCGTTTTTTCGCATCTCCCTCCATTTGAAAAAAATTGGTTTTTGCGCAAGTTTCTAGAGCTGTTTTGGCCTTTACACCAATCAAATAGTTAAGATCTTCTCCCGACCTTGATAGAAGATGAAATCGATCCGGTCTTGAGGTTCAGAGATATTGTACTGCGAATTCCATTTGTCTACGGTTGACCATGTGAAGCCTAAACGAAACTTGAATTCGTAGAATCCACAGAGAATTTCAGAAAGCCTAAATGATCAGAACCACTTGTGTTGTCCGTAGAATCCATAGAGAATTCCAGAAAGTTCAAACGATCAGAACCCTCGGCCTTGCTGTCGGAGAGAATAGTATGACGAAGTTCACTTAAAGGCAGTTGGCACGATGATTTGGTGCTCGGCCTAAAATGCTAGTAGGGCGCTATATAGTGGGGAAATGGCGAAAGAACGGAGTGAAACGGTCAAAATCCTGCGAAAAAGAGCCTCCGTTCTCACTGTGTTAGTAATCAATTTTGGACCCATATATCCCAATTCCTGTAGGCATCTTGCCAATCACCGCTACCGAAGGTACGGCTGCATATGTGTACTCATATATCCATGCAGCATCACGGCCGCTTCATACCAATCCCTTCGCTTCGTACTTTGCTTCAGAAATGAATCGAGTAGAGTTAGAAGGGGATCGATATTTGTGGCAGGCACCTCCCTTGGAAAAGGCATTATGCAGCGCCTGCTCAGGGTCGCGGAATTCCGTCCTGCCAGGCGTATTAATCCTACTCGTCTTGGGGGATTTATCGTGCCAACTGCCTTTAAGGTGCATTTCGCGAATACAGTTAGAAGATCATGGAGGTCCAAAAGCCGAAGACTAGGTCCAAGTTAATCTACTGGTGTGTAAGGGAGCAGAAAAATACCCCAAATAAGACTCTCTGCTCTTTGATGACGTGAGAACGTATTATAGCCAGGCGCGTATGCGCGACGCCACAGGCGGCGTGAACTGAAGAATGTGAGAAAGTGAAAAGAAAACGATGTGGGAAAGCACAGCAGCACGACGGTCAGAGCACATCCTGGCGCTGGGGAATGATTTTGGCTAAATGTGAGCCCCCTAAACACGGCCCTCCTGCTTGGCTACCCTCCCCTCTCCCATAATTGACTTTGTCACCATGCCAAACCTTGAGAGTTGTCGTACAGTGGAGGGGCGGGCGGTGGTAAACACCTCCCATCTACTATGGGAAATATAGTAGTACGTTTGCAGAGCCGCCGACTAGGTGAAAGAGGCATAGTGCATGCGAAACTGGAGAAACCTACAATAAGAAAACCTTATCGTGGGCTGAATGCGACTCTCGCCATAGAACGAGACCCTCTTCTTCGGGGGTTCCCAACGGACGCTGTGCTCGGTTGTAGCCACGAGAGGTCGCGGCTGCCATGAATCGTCTCGCCGCGCGCGGCCTCGGCTCTCCAGCTTGGGTTGGCATAAACCTAATGGTTCTTTGTGATGATTGTACCTCACTTTCTGCAAGTTTCAGCCCTCGAAAAAGCACGTGCTTTTCGTGCTTTGCTTGTGGTATGACGCAGTACATACAACCTTCAGCAAAAAATACTGGACTTTAATTGTACAGATAGGGCCAGCCATTTTTTACAACCTTGAAAACCTGTCTAGGTGATTTAGTAAAGTGAAGAAAAGTCCGCACCTGGGTCTTGATCAAATGAATGGAGCTTCCTGAACGAGTCGATAAAATTCATCTCCTCCATAAGTTTTGTCGCTGGCCATTCTATTTGCCATCCATTATGTATGCCTCTGAACAAGGGTAATGGTCCACAAAGAGTAAAATTCGCTAAGAGCAGTTGAGGGCAGATAAGAACGAATCACCGGGTTTCTTCGGTCCAATCGAGATGAGATGGTGAATTGAAATCACCGCTGACAATCACCGGTATAATATCAGCTTTCCTTCTCCAAGCCGTCATCCTTGAATTGTTCCGAAGCTCTTTAACATTTTGTTCTCTTCCTGAATTTGTGGCATTTACAATCATATGAACTGAATTTGAGGCGGAGGTGGTGTAGTGACAAGTGGCGCGCTTACCACTCGCGCGGCGCCGGGTTCGAATCCCGGGTCGACTCCCGCCCAGCCTTCAACCCTCCGGGGACGGTATATTCGTACCAGATTCGTCTGGGAGAATGAGAACGCTGACTTGTCCATCGGCGTGCCCCCGCAAGTCATTGTGTAGGCATTCAATAGAGCCAATACGATTCCTGAACTGGGAGTAGAATGCGTGCCGCATCCCACAAAGGGATTGATCAATGGCGAAGACTTGATCCCTTATCCTTTTTGAACTGAATTTACTTGTTTGCTTCATCTGTTTTCGTGTTTCCTATGGGGAAGGCCATAGTAAGTGGTGGCCAGCTGACAATTTTGAACGCCCGACGTTTTGAAGGCGCCTGGGAAGGGGAATTGAACAGAAATCATAGGTGCTATCAATCTGCCGCCGTCGAAGTGGTTCACCAGCAAGGTCATGTAGGGCCTAATTAATTTGTTATCGATCTATTTTAATAAAAAGTAGTTTTTTAGGGAAATCTTAGTAATCTCGGGAAAGAATCTGTAAGACAGCTCCTCTGGAGAGAGGGGGGGGGTAAGAAATTTCAGAGCTGACACCGCCCACCTCAGTGAGGATCTAAAAAAATGGCGCTAGAGATTCTGAAAAGGCGCAATGACCACAGCCAATAGATAACAACTCTACCTGAGGGAAGTTTTTCTACTGCAAGGATTTGATCCTTGGATGTCACCATCTTGTTGAATGCAGCATATGGCCCATAAGGTAGGTAGTTCAGGTGAACAGACCAGAAATTGACGAAAAACAATGAATCCACAAGAATTCTTATTCCTATACCGGTACTGGTATCGGTGTAGGAGTTTGGATAAAACTGAAAAACATCAGGAGTTCTATTTTTCCGAGCCCACTGAAGGAATCGCTTTGTAAACCTCATGCCTAGTCAAGATTGCAGTGTCTGGTAGCGTTGGATGATTTCTGTGATGTATACCAACCCATGGTTTGCCAAGCATTTGAGTGAGATTTCCAATATCATAATCGTGCTGAACTTCCTGAAAATTCCTCCAGGAGTTCTCCGTCACATATAAGATTTGAACATAGCTTGTTTTATTATGAGGACCACTGTTTAGCACCACAGATCGCGCTCAAAAAATCAGTACAAGAGTAATGAGTCATGGGCGGAAGTCATGACTCTGGGCGGGACTTGAACCCTTACCTCATGCTTGCGAGGGCTTATGCCAGAAGGCCTCCCGTACCCTCTCAGCTTAATTAGTTCGGTGTGGTGAAGATGACATCCTGGATCGTAGCGACGTTGTCGGAGCTGCTCGATGTTGATGTCTTCCAGATCAAGAGTGCCGGTCCCCAGCTAGCTGTCGATGGGTGGCCATGCAAGAAGTTTCGCAGCTGTTTGGAGGTGACGTGAGTTCATAGGCCTACTCCAGTGAGGCTGCGATCGGAAATGGCTCATATTTTGGTGTTCATGAAGATGATGGGAGAAAGCCTACTCTGCCTATCGAGGAACATCTTGGGTATTCATTTCGCCCTGGTACTCGCATCCACGACTTTAGTCTGAGCAGCTAAAGATTACTGATATGTGACTCAACCGAAGTGTTTTTTGGGCCCTCTGTAGGTGATGGACGCTTGGCTGACAAAGTCCGGTACCGGTCTCAGCACATTTCGCGTGTAAATCTTCTCTTCTTTGTAGAACGCGCTCCCCCTCCCTATGACGTCGTAGGCAATACTGTTGTGAAGCGGAATCGTCTGTGCAAGTAGACTCACCCGTAGAAATATAGGCGAAGGGAGACGTCAAGTTCTCTAGGTAAGGCCTTACTTATTACAGACGAAAAGTGAAGATCCATTGTGATTCCGGGCAAGAGGCCAGGCATTATCAGCGAGAGAACATGGAAACGAGCACGACAACAGACACGACAGCTGCGCTGTTTGTCGACGGGGGAGGGGGGGGGGAAGGGAGCATTTTGTACTATCATTGCTTCCTCAGTTCCGGTTTACATGTCTCACTCTGGCGAAACCTGTGAACTCTTGTGAAGCTGGAACAAGGTAGTCAAGCCATCATGTTAAAACCTGTCAACTCGAGAAGAGGCTGTCTAGATAGGCCGACACGTCGATGGGAAGTAGCGAAAGTGCAAAATGCCCCTCCCCCCCCCCCCGTCGACAAACTGCGCCCACGACAGCTAGCAGCGCGGATGGAGTCACTCAAACCACCTTAGAAACTGACGCTCTCACTTTACGACTTTCATACAAACTCTGAATGGAGAAGAAAAGAGAAATAAAAAAAAATAAATAAATTGAAATAAATAAAAATAAAATAAGAAATATGAAAATAATTGAAATAAAATGAAATAAAAATAGAAGACTTCCTTCTATGTTTCAGCGCCCAAGCACAAGAGGAGCATCGATCAGATTAAATACTGATACTGTTGCGAAAACTCAATTCAGATCAAAGTTTTTCTGTAACAGGGTTGCTCAGGTTTTAACAACCTTTTACGGGGAAATATTTTTCCGCAGAAATATGTAACCTTTAAGAAAATTGATGTGTTTGTTTAAATTTTTTTGTCTCTAGCTTCATCGGAATTGCGGTTCTCTTAATTCTACTCACATGTTTTTTTTGACAATAAATTAATAAATACGCGATACGGGTACCTGAGTTTCTATACCTTTCTGCATATGAAATGCATCACTCAAACTTGTAATGATTAAAACACCGGTGGTTAGGGTCTGAGTTTTTTTTCTATTTCCAAGCTCATGTAGTTTCTTTCTAACCTGTAGCGCAACAATGTCGGGGTTCACTAGCAGAATATGTTTGGCAATCTTCTGAAGACCATCGTTCACCCGTGATCCAGACATCCAGGTGTTGAATGTCATCACCCGCAAAATGCCACTAACAGAACCAATATACAGGCAGAATAATAGAACACTAAGATGGACCACTCGGACATGCCTGAAATATTATTTACGAAAATCGATAAGTTTTATCACTTCAGAGTAAATGGGGAAAAGCATGAAAGAGCGGCCGGCACAGAGCAAGGTATATAATAGAGCATTCTACCAAGGTAGGAAAAAAGGAATCTACGAAATTGATTGAAAATATAACAAGTCAAAGCAAAGGGGTACAAAATGAAGTTGGACGACAATTTGAGCATCAGATTCGATTTCGAACGGAATCGTAGAACCAGTTGGTTAAATCTATATTTGGCCCCTACTTTTTAGGGGGTTACTTTTGACCAAGATTTTGGGACTGAACGTGGGACACCACAGATTCTATTATACGGAGCACTTATATACAGACAGAATCTTCATATTGCGAAGGGAAGACAAAACATGGCATTTGAAATTGGGCTATGACTAGGCTTTTTTATGAGTCTTAAGAAAGGAATCTACCGAAATGAAAAATTGATTCATCATAATTCACAAGACGATATTCAAGGTTAGAAATGGAATGGACCTACTCCCCCAACCACACTGCAAGCAGGATTTTTTAGCGATTTGTAAGGCTTTCTCTAAAGACGAGTTCCGCGCTGGCCATATGGGCGGGGTCTTGAAGGCAAAGCCCGCGATCAGTTGCTATCACAGATAGTGGATTCGAGCTTTGCATATAGCCGACAAGGCTCAGAGTAACCGATAGTGAAGAAAAAAATAAGAAAAAACATGCGAAGTTGCCTAAATAGAACCCCATTCCGATCGTGGTTTGTACGTGGCCAACCAACTCCACCTTCAACACTACGCCCTCATCTGCACAGCTGATTCCCCGATAAGAACTCTACGACCGTACAAGTGACGATTTTCATGCTTTTTCGTCCTGCAGCTTCGTTTTTCACTGAAAGGCGGGCCTTGAAGGCGGAGTCTGGAGGCGGAGTCACTGGGAAAAAAAGACAAGGCGTCACTGAACCTACTT